AACGTTTCCTCTGATCACTAGACGCAGGGATCATGAAGAGACTACTACTTACATTAGGGAGGGGCTAAGCAATGAGCAAGGGAGTTTTTATAACCTTGTTCCCCGGCAGCCAGGTGCACGTCGAGTGCAGCCCACACAACAGATATGACGACGGCCTCCACCGAATGTATTTGTTTCTAATCGATGGAATGATTAGCCGTCCGCATTTGAGTTCTAGAGTTGTCACTAATTAACAACTATCATTTGCCGACTATCGGTTACCACAACGAACCACTAGTTATAAGGTTTAAGAGTCGGAATGTCGTAGAAAGGTCGTCGTGAATTGTGTTGTGTGGTCTGCACTCACAACGCACCTCGCCATCGGAGACAAAGGATATTTGTGTCATTTTACAATAAGCTGTAAACAGTGACGATGTCAATAATATCAATGAAAATCGTAACGAAAGTGATGGAGAAGGCAAATAAGAGCTCAACGTCGAGCGAAGTTCTAAATACAGAACAAAAGAAGATTAACTGCATGCTGTCGCTGGTTTTTTTTTTTTTTTTTTTTTTTTTTTCTTACTCCAATATTCGAACAATTTTATTGTAATATTAATTATTAATACATAATCATAACAGCAGTGACAAAAAAAGGATAACACGATCTCTCGTACTGCACCAAAAAGCCGCGAAGCTATTCAGCTCAATAACGACTGCTCTGAAAGCAACCTGGAGCAAGCCGTCGTCGCTATGGCAACACAAGGTGGTCTTTCGCGCTCTATCGCCAGGGCACGCTCTAAATCTAATGTGAATCACTGAAGATCTATGCGTGCGCTGAGGCTGATTTACTACTCCCTAATCATAGAAGGGTTCTACCATATAAGGACAGAAAGGCAAAACACACTACCAGTGTTCTGAGAGGTTTTTGTCCATCATGGCACTAGCTCGTGCCCCGTAGAACTCAAATGCGGAACGGCTGATCATTCCATCGATTAAAAACAAATACATTCGGTGGAGGCCGTCGTCATATCTGTTGTGTGGGCTGCACTCGACGTGCACCTGGCTGCCGGAGACAGGTTACATAAACTCCTTTGCTCTTCGATTAGCTGAGCCCCGTCTTTAGTTAAAGTAATGGGAATAGTTTTTCCATGATCCCAACGTTTAGTGACCAATGGAAATATTCAGATAGAAATATCCAAAAATGGAGTTAAACCTGATGCGAATGGATTTCGCACAAGTCGGCACGACAAACAGATCATGTATGCGAGTGATACCATCGGAGAAAATCGACAAATCGAAGAAGAAGCGACCACTGGAAAAGGTAAGGACCACAAATGGTGACTTTCGTAGGAGATATTATATTTATAACTTATCAAAGCTTGTTTAAGGTCGTCGTAGGCAGTCAGAACGGTTCAGTGATTTGCATTTGTCGAAAGAACAATGACACACAGGTGAATTGAATTTTTATGCAAATAAAATTCATCTAGGGTCATGGACCCGACTTGGTAGGCGTGCTCGAGCGGTAGGACACGCTCGTATTGATCTATTGATTTTTTCAATATTATGTCGCGCCGCTTCCGCGCGCATGCGTTTCGCTATTTCACTACAGTTTTCAGTGGGAACAGACTCCAAGAAGGTTCATGTCTTCAGGTCATTTGTTTCCATGGTCTCCCCAAAACTTGTATGACTCTATGTAATTTTTAAAGTACTCGCTTAATATTCTGTGTCAGTCTGCTATTTTCCAGATCATCTACAAAACGTTACCGGGACCACCAATCGAAGCCATCTGTCTTGGTGGAGCAATCGGGACACTTCAGGACAAAGTAATACATTCAATAATAATAACAATAACTCGCAAAATATCCGATTCCATTTGAGCTCTCTAAAAACTGACCAACTCAAGCGAAATAGCACGGTATGGTAGGTCTCACAATCAGGGTAGGGGTTACCGTACGCAGGAGTTATCAACTGCAAATATGCTAGGCGAAAATGATGCAAATAAATGCTGAAGCGAGAGGAAATTGGCCTAGCACGCGTTACAATCCGTAGATCAAGTCTTACGTCAGTATCCATGCCAATTGAAGGAGGATTTTGAAGGATGATTCCGAGATAAGACTGCACTAGGTAAATATCGACGAGGGTCGAAGAAGGGGAAACTCATCCAATGAGGGGAGCGGGATGGAAAAAAGCGAGTGGTTGTACACTTCAAATTGTAAAGAATGTTGTCGCTTTTCGTAACAGCAGTGCCACAATACGCGTGAAGGCGTGAAACATGATGGGGAGGGGTCTGAACCACGTGTACCGCTCTATCACCAACGATGATCGGATGACTTCGTCAAAACCTCGCTTACGGCACTATGCTGGAACCTTTTGCGCTGGTAAGCAGTTATTAGAGAATCGATATCTAACACTCGCATTTCTCCCATGCATGGGAGGCATTTTCCTGGATTCGCATTGTAGGGCATATGCAACCGATTGCGATACATTGGTGCGAGTGGGCCGGCGTGAAGAAAAAAAGAAAGATCCCCCCGTCAAAAACGCTCTTTTAGGCTCACTCCATTCTAATGGCTGTGCTAATAGGGAAAGATGAGATAACGGAAAGTCTTTCAGTATGAGCGCTTTTCCAATAATTCTCTGCACTTTGTTCGAGACGCATGTTGACTTGTTAAGACATAAATCTATGGTCAGTGTTTTCCTGAATTTGTGAGACCCTCAGAAAACATGGTGAGAATGGTCCAAAGTTCAATCCGCCTTAGTGACAAATTTTTGCAATCCATGTTGGAGCCTCCAAATTGTCGCCAAATTACGAAGATGACGTGCTAATCGACGCTGGATGCCATTTGACACAATTTGGAGGCGCCAACATAAATTGCAAAAATTAGACATCACGGAGGATCGAACTTTGGACCATCTCTTCTCCACTATTCTGACCTTCCTAGAAGCGTTCAGGAAAAACGGACCATGGTTTTGTGTTCCTCGCATGAGTCTCTACAAAGTGCAGGAAACCATTTTGGAAAAGCGCTCATGTCCTGAAAGACCTCTCCTTGTAAGCGAGTATGAGGCGAGAGAGCACTACAGATGAGAGAGCGCCAGACAACAGCCTGATAAGAAAAAAAAGTCTGCAGCTTGGGCAGCTTACTTTGCAAGGCCCAAGCGCTCTTATCGGTCGGTTTCCGTGCACGAGGACGCCACATTTGTGATTGTCCTCTAGGGTCTATACTACAGACCGAAGAGAAGCGTTCACACAACCTCTGCCTGGGTTGTGCCTTTGGTAAATTCACTACATTTATTGCTGTACTTCAGGTCTTTGTGGCGTCCGGCAGCAATGTTCGCGGTATCGGTAAGAAAGGAAAACAATTTTTTCTTCGAACATGCATGGCGGAACGGGCCAAGAGATGTGGGGTTAGGTGGAATTAATATATTGATAGGGTATCGCGAGAATAAACTAAGCTGTAGAAATGTTTCGTTGCATTGAAAAGCATTGCTCAATTACCATAAGCTCACGTGAAAAATGTATTTATTCGTGAATTGGGTGAGTAGTAGAAGTTCACACTGTTTTTTTCATGTTTATTTATTTATGACTATTGTTACAGATATAAAAACAAATAAATATAGTTCTGGGCAAAAACCAAGCCAAAAAGTCTGGGCAATGTTCTGGTTTCATTTCCGATTTCAAGTCCTCGTCTTGGGCAGAGAGCTTGCCCATAACTCAGCATCATTGCGACAATCTTCCATATTTTTAAATGAATTTTAACGGCCTAGGTTCATCCATGGTGTGGATTTATTGCTGACCGGCCAGAAGAGTGTCAATCACTATCACGACTGTGCTGATGCCAATGTAGGTTGACACTATATCTGAACTATATTAAAAAATTCCAATTGAACCCAAAAAAGTAGAATTTCTCTAAGTCTCTCACCAATAATCCTTCCGGAACCTCACATTCTAGATATTCAGAGATTAGTTAGATATTCTGTGCACAGCACACGTACGAACAGAACCCTCTTCTTGCTATTTTCGTGGTTTTTGGAGAGAGATTCAAATGTAATATGGTCAAAAGGAAGTCGTAATACAATATATGTATATTGATTGAATCGGCATGGATGGGTTGATTGAATCGGCATGAATGAATTTCAGTACGTACTGTGTCCTGGAGATATACTTGACGTAGTGTGCTTGATCTCTTCGGCTGGTGCATGGGGTGGACGACCGTTCACTTCAGTGGTGGCGTGTGCGGACGCTACGATAAGGGTAGGTTCAGCGACACTAACATTTAATCAGACTTAAGGGCAGTGGACGCGATGGGTGGAGGGCGGAGCTGGCACGTCACTGAATGTTGTTGGTAGACCAAACCCGACAGCGCACTGGAGGCTATGGTTGGGACGTCCTCCCAGCGCTCTTCCGCCAATGAATTGGCTTACATCATCGAAACTGCTCCTTCTTCTGGCCATTGTGTTTGCTGCCTTGAAACACCTGAGCTCAGAAGTTTTAAAGGTTCTGAAGATTCATGTGATCATTACGTAGGACATATTTGACGACAGTACCTGTAATTCCATCATTACCAGATTTTTCAGCATTCAAAGTAATTGAATAGAAGGGTTAAAACACAATTTGTCAATACAAATAATTC